TGGGTAAAAGCAATTGGTACCCTCTCTCCTATACTAGACAAATTTGATGAAGCAAATCATATAAGAGATCACAGAGGTAGGAGAAAAAAAGTCAAATTTGAAAAGGATCTGCAAATAGTTGTTACTGAATTGATAAAGAACGATGCATTTTTAAAAATACCAGGAAGAAAATTTGTTTCAAATTCATCAATAAACCCAAAATTGCTCTTACACAAAACAGACAAAACGGAACTAATACAATGGATTATAACACACATTTAAAGTAATAAGGTATTTTGACATACATCACAACAATATTTCTTTGGCACATTATGTTTTTCTTTATCATATCCTTCTAATCTTCTAAATAATAAGTGTCTTCTACATTCTGATGAGTTATTTGCATATTCTCTCATCGCATTATTAGCATATCGCAAAGATGACTTTTTGTTTAATAAAATAGCTTCACAGGGGAGTCCGTCACGACCTCCACGGCCAGTCTCCTGAATATATGATTCTATGTCATCTGATGGTCCTACATGCATTACAACCCAAACGTTGGGACAGTCCACACCCATGCCAAATGCGATTGTAGCACAAACAATACAAAGAGTATCACCTTTCGTGAATGAGATAATGATTTGCTTTTTTATGGCTTCATCAGTGCAGCTTGTAAACATTTCAACAAGTTTGTACTTTGATAATGATGGAGCACCAACTGGGTGTGAAAATTCCTGTGCAAGATTATTCTTGAAAAAATATACAGGTCTGCACATTCTTCAACTTTTCAGCAGTAAATAATAGTTCGGGGATAAGAATTTCTGTGTTTCTTCAAACCTTCAACAATATGCATGAAATTGCTTTGAAGTGAAATATATTCATGAATTTTGTATGTGATATTAGGTTTGCAAGGTGGAAGAACAACAGACAAAGGTGACTTCATGCCAATAATGTATTGAAGTTCAGTACGTAACGTGTAATCAGCAGTTGCTGTTAATGCCATGATGGGTGTTTTTCCTGGTAATAAACTTCGTAGTTCTCCAATTTTAGCAAGTGATTCACGAAATGTAGAGCCCCTATTAAAATTACTTTTTATTAGTATTCAATTGTAATCATGTACTGACGTACCACTTCTTGATAGTATGAGCTTCATCAAGGGCAAGACCTTTTATCTTGGTTTGATATGCTGCTGAAATAAGTAATTTTCTCCATCTCTTATTCAGTAAAAGCATTTCAGGAGTAAAATATATTAATTGATACTTGCAATTTTCAACTCCAGCTGTCATGGTCTTATCATCATTCTCTCCACAAATGTAGCCACAACTAATACCCTTCTCTTGACAAGCAGATACCTATAGACAATGATCTATTGTTGTATATGAAATCAATCATTCTTACTTGATCTTTAATGATTGCAGTCAATGGTGTTACAATAATAATGATAGATCCTTTCTCTGACAAAATTGCATCAAACAAAAAAGGGAGAACCATGTAACACAGGGACTTTCCATAGCCTGTAGGAAGCACCACAAAGATATCCTTTCCTTCCAGAATTGCCTTCACTGCTACTACTTGCTCATCTTTCATTATAATATTATAACCTAGCTTACTTTTGACAACATCTCTTATAAAAACATCCATTTTAAAAATAATAATTATTCATGAGTAATAATGATATTCATTTAGTAGGTAACGTCAATAATCGTCATTTCCTGCCAGCGCAGTATTCTTGCGCTCAGAACAAAAGTGATGACTGTGTGCGTCCTGACTCTCCGTTTTTCGCGAGAGTCAGGCCCCGCCTGACTATACTTATGCTGTGTAGCAAGTTTGAGCTGATTCCGTCTTCAATTTTTCAAGTTACAGCCATTTTAAGAAAACGTCAAATTCAGCCCATGGATTTTTCCAAAAAATGGCTCAGAAATCACCCCAAATTTTTATTAAATTTTCTGATACATATTGATGTCCTTGTGCTGTGTAGCAAGTTTGAGCTGATTCCGTCTTCAATTTTTCAAGTTACGGCCATTTTAACAAAACTCCAAAATTCTGAAAAAAACCCTGTACTATAGCCTATGGTTTTTTCCAAAAAATGGCTCCGAAATCACCCCAAATTTTTATTACATTTTATGATGCACATTAATGACTTCATAAGTTTGAGCTGATTCCAACAAATAATTTTGAGTTTATGAGCATTAAAAATATTGCCATTGCACAAGTTCATCAAATACATTAGAAGATGTATTAATAA